CGCCTCTGAGATCGCAGCCCCTGAGGCAGCGTCCAACCGCTGATCCTCGATTGGCGCAGTGGGCTCTGAATCAATGGTCGGAACCGATGCGTGTGCGGCCTCCAAGGCGTTGTTCGGTAGCAGAGCTATATCATGCCCATCGAGACAGTGCGGCACGCTTGGCTGTGGCTCGAATCCGTCGAAGATCAAGTCCCCGCGGATGTCAGCAGTGTAGTTTAGGCTTCCAAACCTGACCTGATGGCCAGGGGCGTAACTTTCGATCTGCTCAAGGTGACCAAGCGAGTTGGCCCGCAGTGCGAAGCCGCCGAAGACGAAGATCTGTCCGGGGAGAAAAGTCTCACCCTGGACTGCATCGTGGTTGATGATCGAAGAAGCCATCGGGCCTGAAAGCGACGACACAGAGGAACTCTCAATGAAAGCACCGATGTCGGTGTCAAAACCGGCGGATCTCGGGTAGGGGGTCCCGAACTGTGCGTCTAGGCCGGATGGTAACAGGAGACAAGGGACACAATGTTTTACCCAGGTTCGGGCCCTCTTGATGGAGGTAAAACCCTACGTCCTGCTTGATTAATATTGATGATATGGGTATTACAAGAGTAGATCTACCACGAGATCAAGGAGGCTAAACCCTAGAAGCTAGCCTATGGTATGATTGTTGTATGATGAAGTTGTCCTACGGACTAAAACCCTTCGGTTTATATAGACACCGGAGAGGGTTAGGGTTACACAAAGTCGGTTACAATGGTAGGAGATCTTGAATATCCACATCGCCAAGCTTGCCTTCCACACCAAGGAAAGTCCCATCCGGACACGGGACGGAGTCTTCAATCTTGTATCTTCATAGTCCTGGAGTTCGGCTGAAGGTATAGTCCGGCTACCCGAACACCCCCTAATCCAGGACTCCCTCACTCCCCCTTTCCTAGTCCAACTAGGAATAGAAGGAAGAGGGAGAAGGAGAAAGGAAAGGGGGCCGGCCCCCCACCCAATTCGGATTGGGCTAGGGGGGGGGGGGCGCCCCCTCCCAGGCTGCCTTCTCTTTTCTCCCACTAAGGCCCATTAAGGCCCATATGCTCCCCAGGGGGTTCTGGTAACCCCCCGGTACTCCGGTAAATGCCCGAACTCACCCGGAACCATTCTGATGTCCAAACCTAGCCTTCCAATATATCGATCTTTATGTCTCAACCATTCCGAGACTCCTTGTCACGTCCATGATCACATCCGGGACTCCGAACTACCTTTGGTACATCAAAACACATAAACTCATAATACCGATCGTCATCGAGCGTTAAGCGTGCGGATCCTATGGGTTCGAGAACTATGTAGACATGACCAAGACTCACTTCCGGTCAATAACCAATAGTGGAACCTGGATGCTCATATTGGTTCCTACATATTCTATGAAGATCTTTATCGGTCAAACCGCATAACAACATACGTTGTTCCCTTTGTCATCGGTATGTTACTTGCCCGAGATTCGATCGCCGGTATCTCAATACCTAGTTCAATCTCATTACCGGAAAGTCTCTTTACACGTTCCGTAATGCAACATCCTGTAACTAACTCATTAGTCACATTGCTTGCAAGGCTTATAGTGATGTGCATTACCGAGAGGACCCAGAGATACCTGTCCGACAATCGGAGTGACAAATCCTAATCTCGATGTATGCCAACTCAACAAACACCATCGGAGACACCTGTAGAGCATCTTTATAATCACCCAGCTACGTTGTCACGTTTGATAGCACACTAAGTGTTCCTCCGGTATTCGGGAGTTGCATAATCTCATAGTCATAGGAACATGTATAAGTTATGGAGAAAGCAATATCGATAAACTAAACAATCATAGTGCTAAGCTAACGGATGGGTCAAGTCAATCACATTATTCTCTAATGATGTGATTCCGTTCATCAAATGACAACTCTTGTCCATGGCTAGGAAACTTAACCATCTTTGATTAACGAGCTAGTCAAGTAGAGCATACTAGTGACACTTTGTTTGTCTATGTATTCACACATGTACTAAGTTTCTGGTTAATACAATTCTAGCATGAATAATAAGCATTTATCATGATATAAGAAAATATAAATAACAACTTTATTATTGCCTCTAGGGCATATTTCCTTCACACAAGTCTAGAGAGAGAGGTGTTGATAAAAGAAAATATGGACATGAAAGCATCATGCTTATGATCATTATTATAACAATAATTATTCATCATAAAACTTCTCATGATCAAGTAATAATCTATTCACAAGCTAAAGTATAAACAAAAACTGGTTTGGAAACCAAAAAAAAGCAAAACCATGCGTACGCTACGCCATATGCTAGAGAAGCTAACAGTCAGAGATAGTGGACTGGTCCACCCCATGCTTACCATTGAGCGAGAGGGACGTCCGAACGTAGGTACCTGCGAGCGACAAGAGCATAGCCCTTACAACCGACAATATGGGCCAGTTTTTTTGGGCGATTCTCTCAGAATCGCCCTCCTTTCTAGCTTCTTTCATAATTGCCACTCTATTATTTTTTTACAATTCTATCTAGTTATGATCTAATTAGTTAGGATTGTAAAAACAATATGAAGTGGCGATTCTGATAGAATCACCCAAAAGAAACTGGCCCTGTATCGGCGTCACAAACTATATGTGAGCACTGCATGCGAATCGCTCACTAGCGATTGGCTTTGGGCTGGTCCATTTAGGCAAAGTATGCTTGTGGACAACAAACTGTTGAGCGTCGGTTTCAAGAAGCACAATTTTCAGAAGGTTCCACAAGATTTTTATTTCTATTGTCTTAATTGTTTTTTTACTTTTCTTTTCTGTTTTTCTGTTTTTCTTTCATGTTCCCCTTTTTGTCCTTTTTTAATATGTGATTACTTCTAAAACTTCTGGACATGTTTTTGAATACAAGAACACATTCAAAATTCACAATTTTAATTTGTGAACATTTTTTATTTGTAAATTCTTTTTGAGTTCATGAATATATTTGAAATTCATAATTTTTTAAAATTTACAAAAAAATTCCAAATTAGTTAGCATTTTCTTAGTTCATGAACATTTTCTTAAATCCATGAATAATTTTTTATTTGTGAACATTTTTTAGATTAGAATAAAAGCGACTTATATGAAACCCAGCCCTCTGCGCTAGCACTCATTCTTGTTGTGTAATGTATATTTGGCTGGCCCATTAACCACGTTAGTGAGCGACAAAAAGAGCCCAAGCATACCCATGAAGGAAGAGCAGCCCATACAAAACCCAGCTCCTCTTCGCTGCCAGTCTCCGCATAATATCTTCCCTTGAGAGACGGGGCGATGGGAGCCGGAGGCGGGAGCAACTAATTAAGTGGTACCAGGGGCAAACCAAGCGGGCATTTTGGGTGTGCTGGGAGCGTGCCACTTGATGCACCTAACCCTTTCTCTCTGGTCCAGTGGCTGATAGCGGGCCCCATGCTCCTAGTCAGCACTGACTCCGCATAAAATGAGATAAGCACTGTATTTGCATGTCAATGCCAAAATTTTGCACCACTTTGATGCACACCATACTTCTAGCATCAAAGTGAAAGATTTTCGCCAAGTTGTAGCACCACCAATGTAATTGACTTAGCAAGATTGGGCATCTTTGTGGGGTCATATAGTTCAAGGGGGTAAGCCCAGCGCACGCCACTTGATGCGTCCAACCACCACTTTTTTTTTTGAAACTCACTACTAAAACTTTATTTAAGTCTCCCAACTAGGGATCTCGTCTGACACAACCTGCAGAATGCAGTCCGGTGGTTCATGCAACCAAATCTTACATATTAGTTGCATGAAACAGCCCCAAAATCTGTGATAGTTCGTCTCTTCCCTCCCGCACGCCACACAGAAAACTCCCTCCTTGATCTTCCTCCTCTAAAGTTCGGTGCCCACGGCAAGCCCATTCCGAATAAGCCGCCACATGTGTGTTTTTACCTTCCCCGGAGCTACGGTGTCCCATAAGCTCAACCACCACTTTTTTTTTGAGGGGTTAAACCAAGTTTTATTGCTCAAAATCCACATGCCGTGGGATAGCCCAAGCACAACTTTGCTGAGCAGGGCACGGTTGCAACAAAAAGATGCAAGGCGCAAGCCGAAGCCCGGGACGGAAGGTCAGCCCATACACTGCGCGGCCCAATATGACACCACAAAGCTATTCCACTCCGCCTCCAGTCTCTCATCTCGAGAGCCCAGAGGAAACCAGGGGCGTCTTCTCTGCGGCCATGGAAGCCGGAGGAGGCTTGGAGGCGGAGGCGGAGGAGGAGCAGGTGATGAGCGAGGTGCACCTGGGCTGCCCGCCCCGCTTCCCGGGCCTCTACCTCTCCCGCTTCCCTCCCGCCCGCTAGGTAAAGAGCACAGCAGCCCGAACTCACTCGCCCCCTCCTCTGTTCTCAGGCGCATTTCATCATATACCTTTACTGCGCCGCTTCTTGGTTCATCTCCAGACGAGGTTGTCGGCTTGGCTCGTGCTGACGTGTCACCTGATGTTTTCTAGAGATACCCGGAGGCGACGACGGCGAGGGTAGCGATGGGCGCGAGCTCGTCGCATCAACAAGCAGTTCCTATGAGCCAGCGAGTGAGTTTTGCATTGCATTGCTCTTGCCGTAGCTGATGGATGGTGAATTGCTCGCTGTGCTGACTTGTTTCTCGGCTTCGTTGAGAAGGTGGCTCACCTGACGCTGTCGCTGTGGACGACGACGGGGATCTCGTTCTCCACCGGAGAAGAAGGAACAGAGAGAGTAAGGCGTTTGTTACCGTAGCTGTCATTGCCGGTGAGTCGCCAATTATTTTGTCCTCCTTGGAATGCAGGGAGGAGAAGCGAAGATCATGTGCTCGCCGTGCAGCACGGCGTCACCTCTTCGCTTCGGAGCGTCGGGCTTCAGGTTAGAGAGCTTTCCATGCCGGTTTTCCTAGCGTCTTCTCGTCTTTGTATCGCCTGTGAACCATTGTTTTCTGCTGTTTGTTGTTGCTTTGCAGGTTTGGAAGGCCGCCATGCTGTTAACTGACTTTGTGTTGCACAAGAGCTTCACGTCGTCTGAATTCGACGGTGTTATTACCATGGAGATCGGTGCTGGCACAGGTGATGGCCCGATATGAAATTTCTTGATACAGAGTCCTACCGCCTTTGCTTCATCTGCCGCTTACGTTATGTTAGCATTCTGTACGAGGTTACTGTATGGGCAGTACGGATTGTTCCTGAACACTAACGATATGCATGTAATCGCAAAATGTTTGCCAGGGTTGGTAGGGTTGGCACAAGCTCGAGTTGCTAGAAGGATTTTCATTACAGGTACTTAATCCTCCTCCTAAGTACAATTTGGCAGTAGAATTACATGTTCCGCAGTCAGTCCAACAGGTATGGTTTGATCACTCTGTTCCAATACCATGTAGCACCACCAATACCGAATTTGACAGTGTTATCTGAATTCCAGTACGCATTACTTAATTTTTCTGTATTGCTCTTTACTGTCTGAACATTTCATTTGTATGGTCATATTTGTAAATTGTAATGTCATATATATTAGGATATCTGTCAATCGTCCATTTCAGTCATAACACCTAATAATTTAGGAAGCTTGTACAATATCTGAAAGTCTGAATGTTTCGATTTTGAAAATTTGACATGATACTTTACATGCACCCCGAAAGAGTAATCCATGGAACAATCAAAGTTTCTTGTGCCATGTTGCTATCTTCAATCCTTACATATTTTATTTACCAATGGGAATGAACAGATAGAGGCAATCATATCCTCGATAATTGCTTGGCTAATGTCCGTCTCAACTCTAGCATGCTAAAGTTTGATGAAGCTAAAGTCCATGTACGGGAACTGGACTGGAAAATGTCATGGCCTCCGCCAGTGGGTACACATGATGCATCTGATCCAAGGTTTTTTTCTACACCGATTGCAGTCATGATTGTTCTATTGCTTACTATGCACCACAATACACTGATCTCTAGGCAGCATATTCAAGAATAAAATCAATAAGTTGCTTTATCACTTCCAGTTACTAATAAACAAAAAGGAATACATACGTGTGTGGACATGCATTGTCTTAATGCATAATCTCTGTGCACAGACATTTGATGGACTATTGAATATTTTGAGTTTTGGTAAATGTTCCTCGTCACCGAGCTTAAGTTACATCTCCTCCAATGCAGTTCGATATACTCATGGTCTTCAAGTGAAATCGAGGAGGCTGAGCAAGCCACCCTGCTATTCGCTGCAGATGTTATTTACAGTGACAATCTGACCGATATGTTCTTCGACGCAGTGAGGCAGCTTATGTCACGTGGTGCCAAGAAGGTATCATTGTATATTCACTGACAACCATTATCTAATCATAGAAATCTAGCTAGTTAAGATGGTTGAGAGGAAGACTCAGATTCTCCTTTTCATCTGGTAGGTGTTGTACTTGACCCTGGAGAAGAGGTACAACTTCAGCCTGGACGAACTAGACGTCGTGCCCAATGGTTACAAGCATTTTCGAAGCTTCTTCGCGGTTCAAGATGGTAACATCCTTGCTAGATACTCCGACAAGATGGCAAAATAATTGCTCCATCAGGCTATCTCAACTAACCTCCGGTCAATCCCATTGTCTCCAGGATGTGGAGGCAAGGACAATGCTACATCGAAACCAGGCCTTGTGGGGGAGCAGGTAGACCTTGCGAGGGTTCCTCAGTACATCAGAGAATACAACAGAGGCAAGGATCTGGAGATGTGGAAGCTCATGTATTGGCCAGACTAAAAAGAGCATTGTCGGTTTACAAATTTTAGAGGAGTTCAGACTGTTTATGTTCATTCTGTCTGGAAATTATGTGTTCCCCCTAGGATACACATCTTCATGTGGCCGCTGGATAATAACCAGCTTATGACCAAAGACAAGTTATAGAAAAGAAACCTTGCAAGGTCTGAAGATTGTCTGTTTTGCTCTGATCATGAATCTTCCTTATCTTTTCTTTGGCTGTGTCTAATGAGCTTTGGTTAGACATTGCTAGATATTTTGTGTTTCTATTGACAATTCGTTTGAATCAAGCGCTAGATTTTGGATTGCCAACAAGAAACCCCTCTTGCTTAAGTTACAAGTGATGTGGTGGTGTATTTGTAAGTATAGAAGATTTTCTTATAATGCTTCCTGGATTGACATCAAACTGGTTTGGTGGAGAATCCTGAAAACTGTCAAAAATTACAGTTGGATCAAAGTACCTGCTTAATGACCGAGGTCCTGTAAAATTGTCTACGGCGACATCAAAGAGAAAACTACATCGTGCTTCATTGGAAAGAAACATTACAGTATATTATCAGATTCAAAGAAAACAACGTCTTTCGGGTATCCAATGAAAATACATGTAAACACAAATTCTGAATTTATCTTTGCATGAAACGATAGTTTTTACTACATTATTGTAGGGACTACACTGGCATAAATAAATCCAAAGCGAAACAGGCAACTCCAGGAATGAATCTGTTCGCTAGGTAATAGGTATGATTGTCCCATCAGTTTGGATCGATGGTAAGGTCCTGTGTACAGCAGGGTACAAATGTCCATTAGTTTGGCTTCCAAGTTCCAACAGAGCATCAACATGGGTAGCAAAATGTCAGTTCAAATACATTAAGTAAGATGTATGGATGGCGCCAGTTCCCCTATGTGTATGTACCTCCATTCTGAGCCTGCCAAACAGATGCATTGAGTGGATGATAAATATATACATGTCCTCTTCAAACTCGTGTTAATAAATATATAGACAACAATTGTGTCCACTGATAAAATTTGCGACTCTGATACCCAGCAAGGAGCAGCTAGATCGGGTGACATTTAACTGTGTACCATAAGAAGAAGCGCATGTTTCGGCCAACTCAGGCTCCCAATTACATTTTCCTATCCGTGTCTGTCTCTCTGGCCTTCGGAACCAGTCGGTGTTGGCCTATGACATTCCAGCCAAGCAATTCTACTCTTTCCGTTTCTTCTCCAGGATCCGGAGAATACCTTGGTTTGGTCCAGCAGTGAGTGACTTGTGCTTGCTTCTGCACTACGGCCTCCAGGAGTAAGCTAGCGTACCTCATCACAATATCCCAAATATAGAGCATGCATCCAGGGGGCGGAGCCAGGATGAAACACGAGAGGGGGCAAAGAGGTATAGGATTTTTGTTCTTCAGAAACGTGTATACGAACTAATGGCTAGATCATTCAAGAAACTGACCATACAAAGCATACATATAGTGTGAAAGAAAAGAAAAAAAAATCATATGATCACACACGTAGTTATGGAAAAAAAATCATTGCCAAAATAAAAAGTAAACTAACCACTTTAGGCACAATAACTTGAGAAATATGAATATGTCGTTCCTTTTTGTTGGTACGTCCGTGAATTCTAGCCTTCAAGCTGCAGGAAAAATAAAAGTGTTTAAATGTAAAGAGAGAATGTAAATGTTGACTGATAAAAATATAAGCTTGAGCATACATTACCTTCCATTTAGATGATTGATACTAAAATATGTAAGTATCCTTCTTTTAGCACTAGTAAAAAACAGGGCTTTGGTCCAGGCCGGGTCAACCCATTAGTCCCGGTTCAGTCCAGAACCAGGACCAATATGGGCATTGGTCCCGGTTCGTGAGCCCAGGGGGCCGGCCGGGCCACGTGGGCCATTGGTCCCGGTTCATCTGGACCTTTTGGTCCCGGTTGGTGGGATGAACCGGGACCAATGGGCCTCGCTCCTGGCCCACCATCATTGGTCCCGGTTGATGGCTTGAACCGGGACCAAAGGCTCCCCTTTAGTCCCGGCTCATGTCACCAACCAGGACCAATGAGGTGCCTATATATACCCCTCGCTCGCGAGCAGAGTGCTCTCTTTTTCTCTGGCCGAGGGGGAGAGGGCTTGGTGGTGCTCTAGCTCACCTCCTATGCACACAAGGTGTTCGATGGAATGCCCGAGCCACACTACTTAAGCTTTCTCCTCTCCAAGCTCGACCTCCAAGCTCCATTTTCCATAATATTTGTCTAGGTTTAGCGGTCCGTCATGCCCCGTCCCCGTCTTCACCGCCGTCAATCACCCGCGCCGAGCTCATCGCCGGCACCACCGTGGTGAGCCTCTTGTTCTTATCTTCTTTCTGAAAGGAAAAATATTCTTACTTGTATGTTTACATAGATACTTGTATTATTTTCTTACTTTTATTATTGCATCTTATATAGTGCGATGGTTTTGGTATCCGCCCCCGTCGGCCCTCGTCCTGTCTATGATTCAGATGTGGTATATATATTATCTTTATAACTATTGGTTCATTTATTGTTTATGAATATTATGCCGACCAACGTGACATAGATTTTATTTATGTAGGATGTATGTGAATCGGAAATGCCAACCGACCCTATTGTCGAGAGGTTAAATTTAGTTGAAGAAGAAAACAATTTGTTGAAGGAAAAAATAAAAAAAATTGAGGAGGAGAAGATGATATTGGAGTTGCATGTTGCGGATGTCGTCGATGATCACAAGATCAAGATGGATGCAATGCGCTTGAAGATTAGAAAGATTAGAAAATATGACATTCATACCGAGGCTTGGTATCATTATGCCGTTGGATCAATTGTTACCTTGGTTGAGATTATGATCGCATTTGTTTTCGCATTGAAATGTTTTACATAGTTTCAATGTATGGTTTAATTAATTAGATGCTCTGGAGAGCTATATGTTGTTAGATGAGAACTATGTATGCACTTTGGTTTTAATGTGATGATGAACTTCTATTAATTTGGACACTTAATTATATATAATGCACACAGATGAACCGACAATGGATGTATGGTGACAAACACACCCGCGAGTACATTAAGGGCGTGCATGAGTTTCTCGATGCGGCTGAGGCAAACAAGCAGAATGGTTTTATGTGTTGTCCATGCACTGAATGTGAGAATACGAGGTCTTATTCTAAACGGAAAATCCTTCACTCCCACCTTCTTTACAAGGGTTTCATGCCACAATATAATGTTTGGACGAGGCACGGAGAAATATGGGTTATGATGGAAGATGGCGAAGAAGAAGAGTACGATGACAACTATGTGCCCCTGAATACGGTGATGCTGCAATGGGGGGAGCTGGTGAAGATCAAGAGGAACCAGACGATGTGCCCAATGATGCTGCAACGGGTGAAGCTGCTGAAGATCAAGAGGAACCAGACGATGTGCCCGATGATGATGATCTCCGCCGGGTCATTGTCGATGCAAGGACGCAATGCGAAAGTCAAAAGGAGAAGCTGAAGTTCGATCGCATGTTAGAGGATCACAAAAAAGGGTTATACCCCAATTGCGAAGATGGAAACACAAAGCTCGGTACCGTACTGGAATTGCTGCAGTGGAAGGCAGAGAATGCTGTGGCTGACAAAGGACTTGAGAAGCTACTGAAAATATTGAAGAAGAAGCTTCCAAAGGATAACGAATTGCCCGACAATACATACGCAGCAAAGAAGGTCGTATGCCCTTTAGGATTGGAGGTGGAGAAGATACATGCATGCCCTAATGACTGCATCCTCTACCGCGGTGCATACAAGAATCTGAACGCATGCCCGGTATGCGTGGTATAAGATCAGACGAGGTGACCCTGGTGATATTGACGGCGAGCCCCCCAGGAAGAGGGATCCTGCGAAGGTGATGTGGTATGCTCCTATAATACCACGGTTGAAACGTCTGTTCAGAAACGAAGAGCATGCCAAGTTGATGCGATGGCACAGTGAGAACCGAAAGAAAGATGGGAAGTTGAGAGCACCCGCTGACGGGTCGCAGTGGAGAAAAATCGAGAGAAAGTACTGGGATGAGTTTGCAAAGGACCAAAGGAATGTATGGTTTGCTTTAAGCGCAGATGGCATTAATCCTTTCGGGGAGCAGAGCAACAATCACAACACCTGGCCCGTGACTCTATGTATGTATAACCTTCCTTCTTGAATGACATTTAACTGTGTACCATAAGAAGAAGCGCATCACAGCCAGTATCACAGCTAGATCAGGAGTCATGTTTCGGCCAACTCAGGCTCCCTATTACATTTTCCTGTCGGTGTCTGTCTCTCTGGCCTTCGGAACCAGTTGGTGTTGGCCTTGAGCTTGAGGTACGTACAGGGAGTGCTCGGCGTATGACATTCCAGCCAAGCAATTGGGTTACCTGGTCCAGCAGTGAGTGAAGTGAGTGACTTGTGCTTGCTTCTGCACTACGGCCTCCAGGAGTAAGCTAGCGTACCTCATCACAATATCCCAAATATAGTGCATGCATCCAGGGGGCGGAGCCAGGATGAAACACGAGAGGGGGCAAAGAGGTATAGAATTTTTCTTCTTCAGAAACGTGTATACGAACTAATAGCTAGATCATTCAAGAAACTGACCACACAAAGCATACATATAGTGTGAAAGAAAAGAAAAAAAAATCATTGCCAAAATAAAAGTAAACTAACCACTTTAGGCACAATAACTTGAGAAATATGAATATGTCGTTCCTTTTTGCTGGCACGTCCGTGAATTCTAGCCTTCAAGCTGCAGGAAAAATAAAAGCGTTTAAATGTAAAGAGAGAGTGTAAACGTTGACTGATAAAAATATAAGCTTGAGCACATTACCTTCCATTTAGATGATTGATATTAAAATATGCAAGTATCCTTCTTTTTGATGGATCCCGAGTAAGCTTGCTCAGATAGATCGATTATTTCAAGTATACTACCAGTTGCGGATTTTGCAAAAAAAAAAGGTCCATTAGCTTTCTAAATAAATTGA